GGTTGAACATGCCATTCCCCGTGGAATCTAGTGCCCCAGAAATGAGCTCTGAGAAACAGTCTGGAGATGTCTGTGGTCCTGGGCACCATTTCTGAGATTCATCCCTCTCTGACCCTAGCTTTCCCCAGCTCTACTCTCCTGGGAACCAGCCAAGCCCTACTTTGACTCCCACCTGGGAACAGATGAATCAGTACAGACCCATGCCCATACACAAGGACACATACAGACACGGAAACATATGGACAGACATACATGTGCACTCATGCATGCACACACACACACATGCATACACATACTCGTACCTGCTGCAGTAAGCATTTGGCCAGAGTCTGTGGCTGTCATTGGAGAGTAAATGGGAGGGAGCAGTCCCTCCCTCTTCAGTCTCCCAGACTCACGGCACCATGACCCTCATGCCAAGCTGCCTGGTGATAGACTGCTGACCCCTGAAACAAACTGAGCCCAGGATTGTGAGGAAAGGAATTCTCAGGTCATTCTTCTCTGTGCCTAGACTAAGAGCTCCCAAGGGCAGACCAAGTTCTCCTCTTTCTCTATCCCCTAGAGCAGGGCAGAATCTCCCCCTCCCTGTTTCATTTCCCAAGCCTCAGTTTCCCCACTGTAAGATTTCCTGTGCCATTTAGCCATAGGGCATGCCATGTGACAGCCTTAGCTATATTACCTTCAGGGCCTACCACAGCATTTAAGCCATGACTATGTTCTTCTTGACAACCCCAACCATTGACCAAGTACAGTAGAGTGACTAAGGCTTCTATGTGCAATCTTTGTTCTGGGACTCACAATTGGGTTGGCAGAAATTTACTTTCAGATCTGTACAACAGTCCAAGGATCTCTCTGCCCAATTCTTCTTTCTTCTCTATCTTTCATAGGGACCCCCTGCCATCCAATAAACTTCCAGGACAAGCTCCCAGGACAAGCTAAACTGAGGCACCTATAGTTGACACTCCCTCTCCCCCACACATCTCTAAGCCCCATTCTTCAGGATCAATGATTGGCCTTTCCAGAACTGGTCCCTGGGCTTTATTTCTGTATCTGGCAGTCTGAAAAATTCTTTCTTTATCACCTGTACTTCATGAACTTTGTTTTCTTCCTAAACTCACTTTTAGCAATAGCAAGAGTTCCTCCCTAACCCCTGCCCAAGCAATGCTAGAATCTCCTGAAGGGGATGTGTCTAAGTGATTCTCAAATCCCTAGCCCCATCACAAGGCCAGACCAGGATAGGTGATACGTGAGAGGTGAATGAATGAACAAAATCCATGCTATTACCAAAGGGATCTCCTACCCTCCACTAAACCACAAGTTGGAGTTAAAATACACCTACACACAGAAAGAAATGGCCCCCAAAGAAGGAACAGCCTGGGGAGGTAGTAAGCACCCCATAACCCTGGAGCTGCCAGACCCATTCCATGAATATAGGCTTTCAGGTGTTGGTCCAGAAATCCAGAGAAGGCAAAGCTTGCCTATATCCTAACAGTAATGTGGATGGAGAATCCTGGAGTGGTGACTCCCCCTGGTCAGGTCATTTCCTCTGACCTTCATTATGCAGGTCAAGGCCACTCTAGGTCCCCACCCTTCTCATTCTACTGAAGAACCTTGCCACCTTTGAGTTCCTATGCAGGATCTTTAAGACAGTGTGTGCCTGATTATGAGAGGGGCTGAAGGACTGGAGGAGGCGAGGGTGGCACACACTGCAGGGATGAGGCAGGCAGGAAGCCAGGCAGGCTCCCAATGAGTAACTGCAGATTCCCTTGTGCTGTGCCTGTTGTCACGGGGGATGGCAAGTGATTCTGTCTCCATCTCTTTTCCCCCACTTCCTGCATCCTCTGAACCCCTGTGATTCTGAAAAGCAGGAGGGAGGCGGGAGCTTGAACCAAAGTCTGAGGGGAAATGCCAGGAATCCAGGTGGGGAGAACTCTGAACAAAACATTCAGAAAATGCAGAAGGATATGGGGACTGGGAGCAGGAGGTGTCTGTGGCCCTCCTCCCCTGTCTGTACTGTTAAGGCCACTAGAGGAGCTCAGACTTGGCACAGTGTAGGGAGGTAGGGAACAGACATCCCACGTAACTACTTCCACTCCCTGTAGCCTGTCTCTCCCACCTCCACTTCCTCCCCTCTCAGAAGCCTCCTCAGGTCACCTGAGTAAGCAAAAAATGACTTCCTCATCAGAACTCCCCAAGAGTGAGTCCATGTTTGGTTTCCCCAGTGTCTGAGAACACAGGACAAGACATTTTGGAGCAATTAGTTGAAGCATGGTCAAGTTTAGCCTTGGTTGAATTTTTTTAGGTTTTTGTTTATTTCTGCTATTTTCTCTTCTCTGCTCTTTTCACTTCTGAATATGTTTTGGGACCTCAGACAGGTAAGGAAGGATGGATGCCCCAGAGGAACAATTCTGAGAGAACAAAGAAATGATTTTCATTGCAAAGAATGTACTGCAAAACTATTCTCCCTGAGTCACCTTCCCTTTCCTGGGAGGAGAACTACAAGGACACAAGGAGGCACTATTTAGTCTCCCTCTCTGCTCCAGCCCAGCCATCCAGCCCTCAACTGAAGAGGGGATTCGTGTAGACAGGCTATCCCGTTCTCACTGATGACCTTAAGATTCTCTCTCTCTCCCTTCTTACCCTGTCCAACAGCCACCAGGTAAGAGTCACATGGCAAAGTGGGATCCCTCCTACTCCCCAATCCTCATCCCTCTCAGTACTCTCTCAAGTACCTGAGAACACTGATCTCAGAGAGAACAGGAGAACTTCAACAGGCCAGGAGGATATCACAGCACCAGTGAGATACCAGCATCCTGCAGCTGGCTAGGCAAATGTGTATGTGAAAGGGGTGGTGGTGGTTATGAGAGCCAAGATGCACAGATTTGCTGTTCACATCAAGGGTTCCTGGGTGCCGCACCAGCGGAGGTGACTCCTCAGAATAAAGACATGATTCAACTGCCCTGCTGGGTACTGAAGCCTGAAAGGTGGTACACAGGATCATAAGCAGAAGCTAAGTCCTGAGCAAACAGTGTTGCCCCCCAGGAGTACTGACAGTTGAGGAACTGGCCAGCCATCATTCAAACACTCCCTTCACTGAGTGGTTGGGTCCAAACCCCAGAAAGACCAGAGCAGGGGGGCTGGGGATGTGGCTCAAGCGGTAGCGCTCTCGCCTGGCATGCGTGCGGCCCGGGTTCGATCCTCAGCACCACATACCAACAAAAGATGTTGTGTCTGCCGAGAACTAAGAAATAAATATTAAAAAAAAAAAAAAAAAAGACCAGAGCAGAGGCACTTCCAGTCCCCACATGTTGGGAAGCTCCCTAATTAATGAAAAGGAGGTGGAAACTGTAGGGAGAGCAATAACTACCCAGGTCCTCCTCTGTTAAAGGAGGGCCTCAGACGTATCCACCTCTATGCCACCAGTGCATAGCACAGGATCCAGGGCATAGCCAGTGGTTCATAGAGGACCATTGAAAGAAGGTCGACAAAAGAGGGGAGAGGAGGAGGTGAGGGGTGACGGAATGCTGGAAGAGAGAAAGGAGGGAAAGTAGACAGCCAGGGTACACCACAAGTAAAAGGAACCCAGGAGGGGCCGGAGTGCTCATCCTTTACCGGCTCTCCTCAAGCCCACCCCAACAGCAGTCAGGAACTGGAGCTTCCTGCGCTGTAAGGAGGGAAACCCCAGCAGGTCCTCAGAAACTCCAGCGCACCTGCTGGTCAGCAGACGCCTGGAATCAGATTTCGTGCAAGCCGCTGCAAGCTCTGCTTCCTGAGTGTAGACGCGCAGCCCTCTCCGTCTCTCCACTGGACACAGCCACTCCTTCTATTCATATTGATCCACTCCCCTCCTCCCATCCTGGCCGCTGCCACCACACCTCTAGTCTCTATGGTGCTAGATCGAGCCCTCGGAAAGAGGCAAGGCAGCTATCTGAGCTTGTTTCATAAGAAGACGCGCTCAGAGGGCGTCCCGTTCTAGAGGCGAATAAACAGAGCCCGAAGCACCGGCTGTGGAGAGAGGCTAACTCGAAATCACCCAGCGACCGACGGGCCTGGAAGCGCAGCGCCAGAGGCAGGCAGCCGAGTACTGGACCCTCTCTGGACCTCAGTCTCTCCAGCTGTAAAATAAAGAAGGCGGGATGAGGACAAGGTTTCTTGGTTCCTTTTAGGTCAGACCTTCCCTCCCCGCGCGAGGGCGCTGGAACTTCGGCCCAGCCTCCCTTGGGAGGTGCCCGAGCCGAGACGCACGAGGGTGCGGACGCTCCCATCTCCCTGGAGCAGGGCCCCTCGGGGTATAAAAGGCCAGGGCCTTCTGCCAGTGCAGAGCACGTCCCGCCAGTTGACCCCAAAACAGAAACGGCACCGAAGATCATCGGGCATCGTTTGCCGCTCTTTTGCCCTCGCCCAGCCTCTCGGGCGCGACAGAGAACACCGGTCAGTTGAAAATGTACCAAACAACGCGTCCCACCTACCCCCGGTCGCTGCCAGCCCTGAACCCAATGCGGGCCCCAGCCCTCGGCCTGGGAAAATAAGTGGCACTTCCTGTCTTGTAATCCGTTTCACGTTCCAGAGACCAAAGATGCGCAAAAGTGGGAAATAGGGAGGCTGGCGGGGAGGCCTCCTGGAGAAGGTGGCTCCAAAGGCAGATGTGAAGCGCTCTGGAGTAGAACTGAGGGGGTGGACGGAGGTGGGACACCGCATCCCGGAGCTCGGGGAAGTCGTGAGCCAAGCAAGGAAAAATGGGGCGTGCTGGGGTCTTGAGAATCCCCGGAGATGAGCCCGGAGGGGCGAAAGCTTATGAATGCCTCACGACGAAAAAGTGACGCGTGGGATTGGAAGAGGAAGCTCCGGGGACTCCCCACTTTCGGGGGCGCCCCAGCCCCGCCCCATACCTGCGCGCCGGCCCCGCCTCCACTGATCCATTGGCTAGACCCGCCGCCCGTCAGACGAGCCCCCGCGGCCCGCCCCCAGCCCCAGAGCAGCGCCTCTTAGAGCTGGGGCCACTGTGCCAGCGCCACTCTGTCAGGCTGCGGGCCATCTTCCGAGCTACGCCGTCCGCCAACCTCTTACCCGCGACCGGCCGCCCGCCGCGGGTTCAGGGCGGACCATGCGCCCGCCTAGACCGCCGCCCGCCCGCTGGCTCTGCGTGTTGGCAGGAGCCCTCGCCTGCGCCCTCGGCCCCGCGGTAAGTGTCTGCCCAGCTGCCCAGATTCCCCGCACTTGGGGGTGCAGTGGGGGCGGCGGGAGCCGGGCCATCTGTGCGCGCGTCTGGGTAAGGCCGATGAGGGGCACCCGGTGAGGAATAAGGCGCACAAAGCTCCAGGTTCTCGCCTCCTCCCTCAACCCCCAACCGGATCTAGACCCGAGAGGTGGGGTCTAGTTTGTGCCCAGTCCTTCCCAGCGCAGCCCAGAACCCGCACAGTGAGGTGATCCCGGGATTGACAGACAGACTGGGAAGAAGAGAGGGCCCGGAACTTGCCTTCTGAGTGCATGGTGTACGCGGAGTAAAGAGACAGAGTGGCAGAGTCGGTGCTTTGGTGGGTTGAGATGGAAGATCTGATAGACTGCGGGTGGGAGACCGTGAGGGTTGCTCTCTGTGTGGTGCCGGAGTAGAGGTGTCCCTGGGACGTTGTGGCTAGGTTTGGGATGAGGTCTCAGCAGCAGATCCCAGCGTTGGAGCCCAGGTCCTGGGAAGGGACTCTTAGGATCAGGTGGGTGACAGGCAGACGACGAGAGCAGGAAAATACTGGAGTCCAAGGAGGATGGTGGTGAGCAGTGAGGGTGTAGGGGTGGTTTTTAACAGGAGGGACCAGTCATATGCATGGGGAGAGCTGATCAGGGAGCCAATGGCCAACAAGCTGTGGTTTCCGTCTCTTCCTCCTACTTCTGCTTCCTCCAGACAAGCTTATGTATGCCCCTGACCCATGTATACCCCTGTGCTCCACTTGCGGGTGTGCTCACGCGTGGCTGTGGATGGCTCTTCAAGGCCACAGGGCAGATGCTGGATCATCTACCCAAGAACAACAAAATCCTCAAGACTCACTGAGTCTACCCAAGCCCATTTGTAAAATGGGCAAAGTGAAGCTCAAGAGACGTCAGAGCCACACCTTTTCCCCACCAATCAGAACTGGACAGAGGATGTTTTTGTTTTTGTTTTTGTTTTTTGTTTTTCCCTACATCTACCCGATCCCTTGAGGAACCTAGAGTTGCTGCTGGAGCAGGACCTACAATGCAAGAGAACTCCAGTTCTGGAACCAGCTCCAGTTTGGCTGTGGGAGGGTGGGTGATCTTGATTATCGATCGAATCCCTTCTGTCCCAAGATCTCTAACCACCCTCTCCCATGGCAGGAATCTGATTTTCTACCTAGTTGGTGTGTTGCATACCTTGGGGACGGGAAGCTCATTAGCTGGCCTTAAGACCCTACCCCTCACACTGATAGACATGAGACCCACCTTCTAAGCTTTCCAAGCTTCACCAAGCTCACAGAGGCTACCCCAATAGGCTACTCCAACAACCCTCTGGTTCTCACATCCCTGGATTCCAGCCACCTCAAAATCTTTTTGGATGAGCCAGGGATCTTGGGCTACCATTGGCAACACATTCCTTCATCCTTGGAAGTTTCTGTGCCCTGAGACACAATGTTTTCAGAGAAGCCTGCCTCTCACACCAGACCATATCTGCCCTCTGCATCCTGAGACAACCCAAACCAGGCTCCTCCAATTCTCATTCTTTTCTCTTTCCACTACTTATTTGGTGCCCAATCCTAGCACTCCTCAGAGGACCTTCTCCGATTTCTCTGGCCTACTCAGCCTCCCCCAGCTACCCTTCAGGCTTACTCACCTCCCAGCCCAGGCTGTTCTGCCCATCCCCCAGGATCAGGGACAGGGTGTCTCACTCTCCCCTGTTCCTCACAGCCCAGACCAGGACTGGGTCCACAGGTCAAGGAGAAGCCAGAACTGGTTGAGGGTGGGCTGGCGTAAGAGGTTCCCATTTCTCTCTCTGCTTCTCCCTCCATACTTGCTCCCTCATGGAATGGACACTAGGTAATTCTGCTCCAGTCGGACTAGGGGGGTGGGGGATGGGGAGAAGTTATCAGAGTCATAAAATGGCAGCTGCAAAGTTCAGTTTGAAAGCTCAAAGCCTTATCACTCCTGTTTATGGTGCCCTGGCCTCAGCCTGGGGAAGGGAAATCTCTGAACAGGGAAGCAAAAAAAGGAAAGAAAACCTCTAGTGTCTCAGAGGAGGAAGTCTGCCCCAAGGCCACCCGTCAAGCCTTCCACTGCTCCTGCCCCCTGGACAGTAGACGCCGGGCTCCTCCCTCAGAAGCAGAGCCGCCCAGGGCAATGCCAGCACAAGACTGAGGCAGGGGCCCAGATCCTACCCTGGGAAGGTTCTCAGAACCTGGGAGGTTCTCACCCTCCTGGGTGGGGAACCCAGGAGGAAGGGTCCTGGGGTTTTGCCTCTCAGAACTGGGTAGTCAGGGAAGGCTCTCTGGAGGAAGCAGGACAATGTCCTGAAGAGTTTAACTAAATGAATCAGCCTTCCACCCCAGACCATAAAACATCCTCTCTTGCCTGATCCCAGAAGGAAGAGGACTCCCCCAGCTGCCTTCAGTGTGGGATGGCCAGGGGTTTAGGGAAAGCATGGCTCCTCTATCTGCTGAGGCAGGGGACTGGCCACCTGCTCTGGGGACATCATTTTGTCCTAGGCATTCTGCCCTGGCCACTTGCTTTCAAACACTACAGGGCTATCCACAGCTGCCCTGGCCTCTTGGCCCCCAGCAGGCCACCCTGTCGGCTTTAGGAAACATGACTACACCCTATCTCTAAATAATATACAAAAATAGGGGGCTGGGGATGTGGCTCAGTGATTAAGCACCCCTGGGTTCAATCTCTGGTACAAGGGTGGGGGTGGGGTGGGGTTGACATGACTGCAGCTAAATCAGGTCGCTGCCCCCTGAAGGGAAGTGACACCTTGATTAGGCCTGCTCAGGGATTCCAGGGGGCTATGCTAGAAGAAGAAGCTATTCTTGGAAGTTTTCATCCTCCCATCCTGGTGCCCTGTGATTCAGCCTTCCCTGAAGTTTCTGGGGATTCCATGGGGAGCCAGCCCCTATTGGGGACTAAAAACCTAGCCCATAAACCATCCATAGCAAGGGCCAGTTGACCTGGGAAACATTTTTAATCTCTGCAGGTGGTCCTCTGTTTCCTCATCTCAAAAGAGAAAGCAAGAACCATTGGTTCAGTGTGCAGGAAAAATGGGAAGACAGGGCTGGAATAGAGCCAGCTCCCCCTCCTGACTGGGGCATCTTCCCTGAGCCCCAGACCCTCTGTGAAACACGGCTGGGCATCCATTAAGACCTTTATGAGCTTCAAAGGAGGTAAAGGTGGCAAAAGTGCTGTGTTATCTGTGACAGAAATCCCAGGGATGGTGCTGATCCCCAGCTAGGGAGACCCAGGGACCCTTATCCAAGGTAGCCAGGAGCTCTGGGAATGGGGACTGTGACCTCATGAGATGGCCAATCTGGGGGTGAAGCTCCAACTCCAGATAGATGATGGGTCCTCTCAGAGAGGGCTGGGTGGTGGGTAATGCATACTGTGGGGCAGCCTCAGTGGCAATCCAAACTGGGTCATAACATCAACATAGGACCTCTAGCCTGCCACCCTCCTGCCATTGTTGAACCCCTACGGTGGCCCCTCTGGCCATGGATGAGAATGAACAAAGCCTAGAGACTAAAGGAAACCCTACCCTTTTCTCAGTCTCCCAGAATCTACCCTCCTGTTTGAATTCTCAGCACAAGGTATTCATTCATTGTGCCCAACAAAATTGCACTATGTCTACACCCCCTCTTGTACCTTAAGTACCTAAGATGTACTTTAGAAATTTTTCTGAAGGAGAAAAAAAAATTAATCTCCCTACAACATGTATGAGTTTTGGTTTTTGTTGTTGTTTTAGTATTAGGGATTGAACCAAGGACTTCCAAATTCTGAGCTTTATCAGTAAGCTACACCACCAGTCTTTTTATTTTTTATTTTGATACAGGATTCTCACTAACTTTCTCAGGCTGGCCTTGATCCTCCTGCCTCAGCCTCCTAAGTAGCTGGGATTACAGGTGTGTGCCACCATGTCCAGCTGCCTTAAAAAAAAAAAAAAAAAGAAGAAGAAGAAGAAGTTTTATTTCTTTACTAGCAAAGGGACGCACAGGGGACTCCTGTCCCAGAGGCTGTGATTCTGCCTGTGGGGGAACAGGGGATTTGTAAAGAGGTGATTCAAAGGCTACATTCCATGCATTCTCTGTATGGAGTTGTAATTCACTTGTTAATTTGGGAGGTTGTCATTTCTGAGATCTTCTGGTACCATCCCCAAAGACTAGATTTTTTTGTGTGGGGGTTACTGGGGGTCAAACTCAGAGGTGCTTGACCACTGAGCCATATCCCCAGCCTATTTTGTAGAGACAGGGTCTCACTGAGTTGCTAAGCACCTCTCGGTTGCTGAGGCTGGCTTTGAACTCAAGATTCTCCTGCCTCAGCCTCCTGAGCCTCTGGGATTACAGGCACACGCCACCACTCCCAGCTGCTTTTTTTTTTTTTTTCATTTTTACTGTGGAAATTTTCCAAGGTATGAACAAGTAGAAAGAATGGTATAATGAGCATGCAAATACTTGCTAGGTTTGACATTTATTAGCTATAACAATATTTGCATCATTTGCTTTTCTTCCTAAGTATATTTAGTCAATTGTAGACATCCTGACCTTGAACCCCATATTATTTTGAAATACACATCTAAAATCGAAGGACATTTTCTTATAGAACTACATTATCACACATAACAAAATTCGAATGTTAGTGTCCTTAATATCTAATATTCAAATAACCCCGATCACATTTAATGAAGCACCACAAAGTGAGTGGTGACATCAGGGAACTGTCCTATCCCAGGAGCTTTTATATCTGTATCTGATGGAATTGGATAACAAGGTGGCAGGTGCGTGGAAAGAGAACAGTGTGCATTGGCAATGAGCATCTAACGGGGCTCCACCCAGTTGGATCAGTCTTACATGCATCCCCCCTCTTGTGTAGCTCAAGATATGAAGATCCATATCTCTCAGGAAGTGCCTCCTCCTATCTAATTCCAAAACAAGTTCTTCCTGTATATTGAGTCACCAGAGGAGACTGCCTGGTACT